TGAACTACTGACCTGGTTAGCTGCTACACTACCAGAGCTCCTCTCCCTGGAGCCAGCACTCTGAATTTGAACTTCTAGCCTCCTAAACTGTAAGAGAATGAATTCTTGTTAAGCCGTCCACTTGTGGTAGCTCTATTACAACCACGTTAGAGAGCCAACACAACCACTTACACAATGCTTGGTCTAGCTTCTCAGTCTGTGAAGATGGTTATAATGCTTTCATAAAGTAAAATTATTTTTGTCTTATAACTAATTGCCTGCTGATCTTTATTCTGGTTTTTCTAAACCATTTCTTTGAAGACAGTCTCACTATGCCATAAAACATGCATTTTATCATCATCCAGTGGAATTCCTTTCCTTGGTACATTTGTGGCATTTTCAACATTACCGTTTATATTCCTTTAGTCACAGCTGGAAGTTAAAACTGTTCAACATAACATTAAATCATGACAGAATAACCCAGATATATTAAACACATTAGCAAGGGCTATTCAAACTGAGAAAAGCTTAGTCTGGTACTTTTAATCTCACTCACTGACAGCGAATGATAGGACTCTCAACTACAATAGATGACAGGTCTTGGGGAAAATATATTAACTGTACTGTTCAGTACTCTAATAAATTCATCTGCTTCTGCTTTCAATATAAAACTATTTCCCAAATTAATAGAACTATAATAAACTAGTATTGCATGGAGCTGCTTTAAGTAAAACATATATACATTAGAGAGAATTGCCTTAGCCATGTAAATTCAAGGAATGTTTCAAAGAACATGTTTCTAATTATTATCCCACAATTTTCTAATTAATAATATAAAGTTCTTGTATAAAATTTCAATGAGTCTCTGTAAAACTTTAATTATAGAAAATTAATTATGATTAAGGAAGTTCTGTGAGAAAAATTATGCAATATTTTGATCTATCAACATGAAACATTTTTGGATATTCTTTTCATACTTGCAACAATTTTAATATCTTTTCATATGTTCTTTGTTTTCAGTGATAAACCCTGCCAAATTTTGTTAGGTTAAATTTTTATTCAAGTGATTTTACTGCATATTTAAATATATGTATATTCATTCTTTTTTCTTTTTGTTTTTCTCTCTCTCCTTAGACATTATTTGGGGATTTTCACTCATATCTTACTGATTAAAGCAAGTCACATGGTCAAATCTAACTTCAAGGGGTAAGGAATATAATCCTCCCTGTTTTAGGCTGGGTACTCTAGAGAAGCTAAACCAGTGATGCTCAGAGAGAGAAAGAAATTTATCTCAGGGAAAAGGCTTACATAGTTGTAGAGGCTGACAAGTCCCAAGTTTATGGGTCAAACATCAAGCTGAAGGCTTTTCCTGACTCATGCAGCTCCCAGGGCTGATGAATCTAAGATCAGCAGGCAATACAACAAGCAGGCTGCCAGCTTCAACAAATGACGACCCCAAGATCAGCAGGTAAAATGGGAAACTGTTGGCTCACAGGCTGTGATGGCAACAATCCCAAGATTGAGAGGCAATGTGGCAGGCCACTGATTCAGCTCCAAGAATTGGAGACGTTGATGAGCTAGATGCAGGATCCAGATCCAGCAGAAAGCCAGAGTGTTCCCAGGACATCCATACATATGTCAGAAGCAGGCCACACCTCTGAGGAAACTCCTTTCAACTGATCGGATGTTCACAGAACATCTCATCATGGAGGTGATTACATCACAATTGCTTAAATCACTTAGAATCACAGTCCAGCCAAGCTGACACACAACCTTAACTACCATACTTCTTTATGTCCAGGAAAGGGAAGATCATCTAGTAATGCTACTATGCTACCTGAGACGTAAAATGAAATTATCTTTTAAAACTCTCTTTATTGTTCAAAGAACATTTTAACAACCATGACAAATTTTCAAAGAAGAACAAATCAATCATTTCCCTAACTGTTTAAAACATCCATTATATACATGTTTCCGGTTTTCTTCCTGTTATATCTTTTTAATTTTCATATGGTTCTAATTATAATCTAAGTACTATTCTCTGTACTTACTATTACATCTCAATGTAAAGAAAACAAAAATCCTCACAACTGGACCAACAAGCAGCATCACAATAAATGGAGAAAAGATTGAAGTTGTCAAAGATTTCATGTTACTTGGTTCCACAATCAACACCAATGGAAACAGCAGTCAACACATCAGACAACGTATTGCACTGGGCAAATCTGCTGCAAAGACCTCTCTACAGTGCTGAAGAGCAGAGATGTCTCTTTGAAGACTAAGGTGTGCCTAACCCAAGCCATGGTGTTTCCGAGAGCCTTATATGCATGTGAAAGCTGGACAATGGATAAGGAAGAATGAAGAAGAGATGATGCTTTTGAGTTGTGTTGGCAAAGAATACTGAAACTACCATGGACTGCCAAAAGAACTAACAAATATGTCCTGGAAGAAGTGCAGCCTGAATGCTCCTTGGAAGCAAGAATGGCCAGACTTCCTCTGACCTACTTTGATCAGGTCAGAAGAAGCCTTTGGAGAAGGCTATCATGCTTGGTAAAGTAAAGGGTCAATGAAAAAGGGGAAGGCCCTCAATGAGATGGACTGACACAGTGTCTGCAACAATGGGCTCAGGTGTAGCAAGAATTAAGGTTGGCACAGGACCAGGCAGTGTTTTGTTCTGTTATACACAGGGTGGCTTTGAGTCAGAGCCAATTCAACAGCACCTAACAGCAGCAACAATTATTATATTGTATTCATTTTCTATATTGCTATAGTCTTTATAATTTTTGATGCTGGTGGAATATGTAAAATGAAATTTTTCAATCAAATAGGTTTCTAGAGTATGCAGTTATTCCTATTCTGATTTCAAATTTGTATTCAATCTAATCTTCAACCATTACATTCATTTAGAGATGAACCAATTCTTAGAGCACTGGTGGAAAAACCAGATACTTCTATTATTTCCTAAAATGCCAATGGGTTATGGCTAAAAAAAAAAAAAAAAGTTGTTTTTTTGGAAGTATTACTAACTTTTCAGGGGATAATTTATCCAAATATAGTAAAAAAGCAGATTAAAATTCCTGGAAATACAAAAATGAGCAGAACCTGTTGAAGGAAGTATGACCATTAAATTGTTCAAATCATATGTGACTGATTATAGCTGATGATGGCAAGTTTTAAGAGTATGCTATTTTAAAAAAATCTATTTTTACATAAAATTCTTTCTTACAAATCCAAAAGTTGGGGATTATGTAAAATACTCCTTCAATTTGTGACATTTTTTACTGCAAGTTTTATTTATTAGCAAGTTCCCTATTCATTTAAGTGTGTTTGAAATTTAGTAAATATAAAACAAAAAAATGCTTCAAAGATTTTCAGGAGTGGACTTCTGGTAAGATGGTGGAATAGGCAGAAAGACTACACAGACCCTCTTCAACAAAGAAAAGGGGAACCAATTAACACAGACACAGAAGATAATCCTGGACCCCTGAGCCTTGAAGGGAAGGATATAGAAGTGGACTAAACACCAACTAGCAGAAGAATTTGCATGAAAATAACAAAAAAGGAAATATATGGAGCTGCAGTCTGGCAGTGAACCAGAGCAAGCCTGACTGCACAGCACAGACAGCTTGGAGAGTGCTGAGTGGTGGTAGGACCTAAGAATTAACCTAAAAATCAGCTCTGCTAGCCAGGAACTGCACAGAGGACTACTCTGGTGGCTGGGGAATAAAACAAGAAGCACCAGCAAAGAAAATGGCGGGCTGAACTGTGGACTTTTGGCTTTCTGGAGGGTGCTGCCATTTTGAATGCTTAAAAGCAGCATCACCATTTTGAATATTTAAAGAGACAGCACTCCCCCAGATTGCAGAGTCTTAAGAACAGGTTCTGCTTGCCAGTAACCTCAAGGACACTCCAGACCTGGACGACTGAAAAGGTGCGACATTCCCCTTGTTACTATTCTACCCCACACCCCTTGGTGAACGGAGGTGAGGCCATCCCCCACTCCCATGCACCTTCTGGGCCCACAGAAACTCCATCCCAGTCTGTGTGCTCAGGCAGAGTCTGGGTGCCCTGCCCTCCTCCAACTTTTTTCTTTTTCTTTTTTCTTTTTTTTACCTCTTTCCTTTTTCTGCTTTTTAGTTTGCTTGTTTTTATATGTTTAAAACTACTATTACTATTAATACATTTGTCCTTTCTACTATTATTCTTTGTTCTTCCCCTCCCAGGTCCTAGTTTTCAGTTCTTTTTCTTTTCCCTGTTGATGGTTGCAACTTTTTTGTCTCATGGTTAAGCCTGTTCTTTGTTTTTCTTTTTGCATTTTTATCATTCTTTTCTTCATTATTCTCCTTCTCTACCTTTATTCTCTTATTGCCTTATACCTAGATATTGCAGGTTTTCTTGTTTTTTTCTTATTATTATTCCCTTTTTTTTTTTTTTTT